CTTATTCTTCACTTTAAGCTTAAGTAGAGAATCAAAAGCTTGTAATTTAGTAACATAAATGTTTAAAGTAAATGTTTCTATTAACACATGAACCTGAAATTCATTCAAATCTTAAATGTATAGCAGAACACAATCTCCGCAATTCGCAGAGAATATAAGACATATGTTCTTATGTTAAGTCAAAGCATTAAATAAAATTGAACCGCGTCCACTAAATTCTGATCCAGGTTTTAATACGAAGCAATGCCGGCTAGTGAAAATGAGGCCCATTAAGGATTTAGTAACACTAGGGTCTGACAGAATGATTAGGAAGCAGTAGTTGCCAAAAGGCTGTTTTACCGATTCAAGAAATTTTGCAGTTAAATACATTAGCTTCTTTGAATCCTGGTAAAAATTGACGAATGTGAAAGTAAAGATAAAATAATAATTTAATTGTGTTAAGTAAGATAACACCCTACACGTTTATTGCATTGTGCAACTCATACGTTTACATAATTTTAAGATAAAAGAAAATATTAACACATTTTATTATGTATGGCTTGTCTAAGTCATTCAAGTTGAATTGGTAAAAGGTAATAGAAAGGAATTGTATTTTTAACTGATTTTTAGTGTTTTGAGCTTCCTTAAAATGCTTTTAACAGATTCATGGCAGCAACATAGCGCCTTTCCCCTACTCTTTGTTAATTTTATGGAAAAAGTAATACGAACTGGGATGCACGGAAAAGTTGTTAAATAAATCGCTGGACATGCTGCAATAAATGAAACAAAAATGTGTTGATGACGAGTTACCTCGATGATAGCGCTCAGGGAATATTCTTGGAAACCGAGATAAAAACGCTTGGCGGGTCTATTCCGCATTCTTTTTGCTTCAAAATAAAAAAAATTTCGTTTCACCTTGTTACTATGTATGCAGGGACAGAATTAGTTAAATGTTAGATATGCTTTTTAACCCAAATATAGCGTTAACTTCTGTGTTTTTAACAACATATACGTGAATTTAAACTTTTATGAACTTAGAGCTCTTCAGTAAATTATTATATATTCCACTTATGCATGCACATCACATATCTCTTCGTCTCCACTGTTAAACAGCAAATATAGTATAACTGCTATATACTTGTAATTGAACGCTGTCAGTGATTTTGTTTTATTTTTCAATAGACCAGGTTCTTAAAATAGTTATCCCTAGAGTTAAATACAGAAGAATCGATATGAATGTATGTATGTACATACGATCTTCATATTGTAGAAAAACGAAGGCATATAGAGACATAATATTTTAAACAAGTTTTCTATCCGAAAATGTGCATTTCGAAGCCTAAACATTGAATTTCGAATTTCTTTATATTTTGCTCGAATTTAAGGAAGTTTTTATAATAAATTCAGCGATATAAAAGCTTTATGTTGCACTCTAGAAAGCATAGCATACTGATGTTATAACAAATTAATCAGAGACCTCAGAACTTTAAAAGAAGTGTGCTGACAAACAGCAAGATGCAAAAAATTGCTTTAATCTAATTAACAAAATCAGGAATTTAAAAGAAATGTTTTGTCACTACTCAAATTAAAATATTTTTATCTTCCATATGGTCATTTATTGTCGTCTTTACTCTGTTAATAATTAACAAACTAAGCGATTCAATAACTATAAACATAGATTCATTTCAGTTATTAGTAATTATTAAGTGGGCCTCTGAAATTACATCGGCTGGATTCATTCAAATCGTTATTTATAATTTTTTTTGTGTAATTGGCTTGTATATATAGAAACACACACAAATATATATATATATATATATGTGTGTGTGTGTGTTGTATGATTTTAAATTCATTTATTGCGAAATCAAGTTATTCTACTACTTGCGCAATTGCTGCAAAATAAGTTAATAATAATTTACTTAATAATATATATATATATATTGTCCTGTGCTTATGGGTTCATTAATAGATTGAATTCACACAGGTCCGATGATAGGTTAATAAAAATTATTTTATCAATGTGAAACACTTCAGAATTCTGTAATTCTCCACCGAAATATTCGTACAGTTGTTTACAGTATCACAAAGTAAAATTAGCAGTTACGCTTCAAATACTAAGAACGTTAAACACAGAGCAATGCAAAATTTAAACAGCATCTAAAGAGAAAGCTAATTCAATCTCACGCTGAACTAACAGCTCGCAACAATAACAACAACAGTTAACTAAACAACTGAAAGCAGATGCTCTCTCTCCGGTCTTATAGAGATTTCAGCCGGCCGCTGAGATATTTCTAGTACTTTCTGCTTCTCGAAATTACTGAAAAGCAATATGAGATTTAAATTACAGTTACGCTAAGGTAGTGATCAATTACATTTATTCAATTGCAATACTTATTATGGGGATACATGGACCGGGCCCAAATATCGCGAAATGGTCGCTACGTCTGGCGATAAAATGTGTCGCCAAAACTGTTCTCAGCTTGGCGATATCTTGCCAAATTACCGAGATACCCATTTAATCAATGTTAACGGGTTTGCCCTTGTAGTCATACTCTTCCGGCATAGCTCAAAATTTGTTTCGGGTTGCATTACACGAAAAAATACAACAATTCCACACATAACTGCACTAAAACTATCTATCTATTGTACGAAATTCGTAAAAATATTGTAAAGACGTCAGATTAATTGGAAAAGCCAGAGAGATGAAAAATTAGCAACCGTGTGAATCGAACCACGGACCTCTGGAATACCGGCCCAGGGTGCAGAACCACTACACCAGGAAGGCACGCTAGGAAGGTGGGAGAAATACCTTATAATATATATAAAACATGAAAATGCAATTGTAACCAAAAAAAAATAAATAAAGATTACCCTATATTACACAAATACTACAAAAATATTCAATTAAATAAAATTGTCATATTTAAAATAACAAATTAGGCAAAAATAATTTTTAAAAGAAATGATAAACTTGCTTAATACTTCGTACTTTGCGACTAACAATGACCGGGTTTTTTCCCTTAATTCCAATGGCAGGCGTGTTATTCAGCTGTTGCAAGGTTTAAGAGAACGGAACATATTAGGCAGATGAAAAGTTAGTAACGGCACCGCTAGACAGTGCGACTAGCTATCAAATCGAATAAGCAAGTAAATTCATTTCTAAAATTTCTGGCTAAAAGTCATGAAACAGAAAATAAGATAGAGAAAAAGATAAAAATCTTGACGGAAAAGAAGCTATAACTGCGACTTCAGAAAATAAATGGTTCTTAGTGAGTAAAAGTATAGAAGCCGGAAAAAGAATATTATATATTTATACTGAAGCATTATTTCGCTATCTTTTCAATTGTTCATTTTTTAGTAATTTTTTGGTGATACTCCTATAATTTATTTGCATTCATATTTTTTTGGGGGAGGGATCTCAAATTTATTTGTTTTTCCACTACTGTTAGTCAGTGCTTGTAGGGCAATTTCTACCATCTCTCACTTTTTCTTCTACAATATTTCAAATTCTTTTCAAAATTTTTTATATTTTTTTTTGCTTTGGATGGTTATTAATGTTTGTTTTTTTATAAAAGAAATTTTTATTTTGCCTTTTGGTTTTTGTTAAATCAATTTTTACTTTCTTCATTTTTCTATCACTACTTTGTAGAGTAGAATTTATATAGTCTTCAAATTCTAATTCTTATGTCTTTTTTATTGGCATTGGACTTAATACCTACATCTCTCTCTCTATATATATTAATAACTATATATGTAATTATTAATTTTGATACAATTATGAATTTAATTATTAATTCTGACTACCCACTAGGAAATGAAGAGTAAAATGTATTGTAATATGAATCTTATAAAACGTTAATTCCTTAGAAAACGGAGATTAAACTATGGAAAATAAAACTTAGTCCCACGATTAATAATCATAGATCACACATTAAAAAATTCTCCACCTTAAATATTATAAGTACTGAAACAACCATTTCTTAAGATCATAATCTAAGCACAGCAGAATTAGAACATTTTCAATGTCATAACTTCAACCATATTACTATTCAGATTTTAGATACAGTTCCTCAAACTAAAGGTAGACTATTTTAAGAATCAATCCTGATATTTAACCTGAAAACACCTTACCCCTATGGGTTTATAAACTGTATCAAACAAGTAAAAGAAGCAGTTAATTCGTGGATTTAAAAAGTTAATTTTAACTCTTTATCAAAAAAATAAGACAGGTAAAAGAAGAGGTAGTAAACTAAATAGTAAATTTTACTAAGTGGCAGCAAATATTTCTGCAAAATTAACGTTTCCACCCTCAATTAAACAAAATAAATTTTAATAATATATTCAAAAGTAATCAATCTTTCTTACCTACAATTAAAGCACGTACTACACATTGTTTTTAATTTACGAGTAAAAACAACTTTAAGCAAACTCCATGAACTCTTGATACTATAGCAACTTTGTCGGATACTGCAAAGAACAAAAATTTCCTGCTTTCTCTAATGATAAATGTAATTACATAGTCATAGAAAATTTGAACACAGTTACAACTAACAGAACTAATGAAACTTGATACTGAATTCAGACCTCTTTATGGCATTAGCAAAAACTTCTGCGTTGATAATATTGAAAGTAATTCAATGAATCCATAATTAAAGCAGTGTATGAATTAAGTCTTCCCAGTAATACAGTCTCAGAGCAGAAAAAAAGAAATTTTTAACTAATTTTTATTTTTGATTAAACATAGGCTAACCAAGTTGACATTTACAGCATTTTAAATTGGAATGCAATTAAGAACAAAATACAGGAAATTAAGCAGAAATTTGCGGTCACCAAAATAGAAAAGCAAGTAACAAACTCAGCGTTATATGAAAACAATGCTACAGCCAACTAATCGAAGCAGAACTAAATCAGCCTATTACTTACCACAAAGCACCTGAAAAAAGTATCAATCATAACTTAAAATTTCACTTCCATTTTGTAGAAACATTAGGTTATTTCGAAGAAACATGAAAAATGAACAATGCCCTCACGGGGTATCGAACCACGGGCGTCTCGAATACATGTCGAGCGTGCTGACCACTACACCACGAAGGCTTATTAAGAAAGTGGTAGAAATATCTTATAGGCTCCCTTTTTTAAATCCATTTCTAAAATGTCTGGCTAAAAGTCATGAAACAGAAAATAAGATAGAGATAAAGATAAAAATCTTAACGGAAAAGAAACTATAACTGCGACTACATAAAATAAATGGTTCTTAGTGAGAAAAAGTATAGAAGCCGGAAAAAGAATATTATATATTTCTACTGAGGTATTATTTCGCTATCTTTTTAATTGTTCATTTTTTAGTAATTTTTCGGTGATACAAGGACTGGGGTTTTAGGAGACCCAATCGCCAAATCTTGGTGGTGAAGAAATCATCATTCACTACCTTTTAGTTTGGGCGCCACTGTAGATACATTAGGTTATTTCGAAGCAGGAAAGATGAAAAATGAGCAATGCCCTCGCCGGGAACCGAATCAAGGACCTCTCGAATAAGCGTCGAGAATGCTAACCACTACATAACAAAGGCATGCTAAGAAGGCGGGAGAAATACCTTATAACCTGATTACAACAGAATTTCTGTTCCAGCTGATTACAACAGATTTTCTAACCTATATGCTCCGCCCAAAGTCATACAATACTTTTTAGATTTATTGCTAAAGAAAATAAAAATTATAAGAATATTCTAGAGTTAAAATTCTCAAAATAAAAGAAATTAACTGCTACGATTTTCAAAACTTGCATACCGCTCTTCCTTTGGAAAAAATGTACTATAATACTACTCCCAAATATATTTCCCGAAATACTTAATATTTTAACAAAAAGACAAATGTACTTTTTCACAACTTTTTAATAACACTATTTTATAAAAAAATAAAAGGCATCCCTATGGGAATGAATTTCTCATCACAGCTTTGTAACCTGTTTCAACAATCACTGGACAAAAACTAGTGTGAGACAACTGACAAATACTCATAGATACATAGGTGATATTATAAGTGTCAGTAATTTGCAGTCTGTTAGTCTGTCTGTCAAATTTGCTCTTTTTGCTTACTACTTGAAAAACATCAAATCAAGTGAACACGAAATTGATTTACTAGATTCACAAATAATTAACTACAGTAAATTAAATTTTTTGAAAGAGGATATTTTATATTTAAAACTCGTAATATCTTAGCTAATTTAGTTTTCCTTGAGAGCTAGAATATCGAAGAACTGAGCAACAACTATTCGTTGAGTTCTTCTAAGTAACAAGCCCAAAGAAGGGTTAAATTTACCCCTTATTCCAACTCAAAATAAGTTAGCAGCTGGTCCTTTCTTGGGCTTACAATAAGCCTCTATTTGGGCTTTAACTCAAAACAGAAAATATTCACCTAATCTCCTACTAAAGTTACACAGAATACTACACAGAAAGTTACTGAAGCTACACAGAATCAATTAAAAGAGTTGGCCCTTAAGATCGCAGGCGTAACCTTGTGCGACCTTGTCCCCTTTCCTATCAGACAAAGATCTCTGCAAGGAAACCCGGCAACTGCTCTTACAAGCGTAAAAGAATACCAGCACAGTAGAAGGGTAAAATAAACCTTTATTTTTCGTCAATCTCTGAACACAAATGCACGTACTTCGTGCTTAGAACAACACCAACGACTTGCAGTGGAACGTAAGAATAGTTTCTCAGTAAATTCAAAGAGAAAGAGTAGTGCTGGAATAACAATTAAATTTAAGGTTAACTAGGCTGACAAAACAGCCTAACCTACGTTATACTTTTTAAATGGCCAGAAGGGCTTATCAGCAACTCAGCGTAACAATAAGGACAAATTAGTAATGTACATTGGATTGCAAAATCACGCTCTGAATAAACTACGAGATTCGTCCGTTTAAATACTCATTTCATATGATTTTAAATTTGCCTTCTAGCGAGAAAATGCGAGGGCAAAATGAAAGGTCCAGGAAAGGACCAAACTTAAAATAATTCGTTATATATAAAATAAGGGCTTACAGGCACGTAGCAGTAAGCCAGTAGAGTACTAAATTTAGATTGGGCCGAAAGGCGGAATACGCTGTCCTGTGCTATCCTACCGAAGTGACCCAGACTTCAATTTAAATACTCATTTACATAAATCGTAATCCTGAAACCTCAGTCTGGCAGGGAAATGTAGGTGAGAAACGAGAAGACAAAGGCAAGGCTTGTTCCAAAATAAAAATAACTAGTAGAAAATTAATGTAACTATTAAATTAATTAATTGGCACACCAGCTTATCAAGAACAGTTATTGGCAACACAATAATGAATCAAATAAATAGAACAAAAATATTTATACAGAAATAAAATACTTAGTGATGAATCAATTTTACTAACACAAATTTTTATAGGCGATCAATTTTTTTTCTCAATTAATTGTTCTCTTAAAACAGCTTGTTTTAACTTAGAAATTTAACCTTTAAACTAATAAATTCATAGTATTGGCTTATCCAAAACCGAAAGGAGGGTAAGACCATATGTTTGTTAGAATTATTTTGTATTTTAACTTGCAAATTATTTTACTCTAAATACTTCTCGCTACTATCCTGTTACTAACAAAATTCGAAATAGTTTCTGAGACTCACATATAACCCATTTTGAGTGTAGAGGTTTGACCGTATATCTCCCTATTTTCCATTTCCTTGACTTTCAGCCAGAAATAATTTTAATTTTATTAGATTTGACTCTTAGTAATTGAATATTTTGAATCTTATTGAAGAGAGATAGCAGATTTCACCATTACACTTTTCCCGCACAATTTTGATTTTCTTGGTTTACAGTAAATCAGAACACTTTTATCTTAAAAATTTCCTCGCCCATTCAGTATCTTCCTTACAGCAAGTTGAGTAATATTTTATCTGGAAAAAATCTTAAAGGCAAAACCTAACGTCCCTTGAGCGCTGTTTCAAAGAAATATTCTTTCTAAATAGGACGTTGGAATACTTTAAAGCAATACAAGCGTATAAACTATGAGTAAAAATTAAAAGTGACCAAAAAACTTTTTGGCCTTCGTATAATTCAAATGTTGCATACAATAATTAAAATTATATCATATTTGATTGCAATTAATACCTTTGTGTTTAAATTGCATTATTGACATGTTTGTAAAATTTATTTTACTCTTTGCTTTATATCAGCAGTATTCAGTTTAATTTCTTTTTTTTTTTTTTTTTTTTTTTGCATAATTTTAGACCGCATTAGGGAATTTCCTTCTAATATTTAAAAACACTGCTTTCTGAGTGAAGTTTTAAGTTTCATATTTCTTTCATTTCAAGGCAATTTTCCGAATTTTGAAGTTTTTAATCTAACTCTGTTTAAACTACTAAATCTTTCACCTATCCCTCCTTTCTGCATGCCTTCGTGGTGTAACGGTAACACACTCGGCGCGTTTACGAGAGGCCCAGTCTCACGTTCAGGCGAAGTCATTGTTCATTTTTCATGTCTCTTGCTTCAAAAATCCTAATGACTCTACAGTCTTAGCTCTGGAAGCCGTATTTGTAAGGTAACTCGGGTACAGATTTAAGGAAACTTCGGGATGAAACGGTGGAAGAGCTTTGAAAATGCGTTCTTGAGAATTTTCCAGAGTGGCCAAACTGGCGAAAGATCTCCAAATGTCGATATAATATATTGCATTTGTATATTAAAATTGTTTCTCGCAATGTAGGATCTTTATTAATCGGAGATTTAATATGTATAAATCGTAACATTGCACTGATATCTGAAAAGATCAAACTGCGAATTTGTCCTTGTACAAAGATTATTTTATTTCTATATGTTTATCTTGAAATGTGGTCTCTATAATACCCTGTAGGAAAACGAAAATATGTCCTTATTTCTAATAACACCTCCATTCCCTTACTTATTTATAATTTCTGGCGTTAGTTATATCAACTGTATTAAGCACTTATTAGCTTATATAACTTATTAACAGTATCGTCAAAATGATGGTACTAAATTAAACATATAAGCTAAATTCCAGTGAGCACTTGACACAGTAAAGTAATTGGAAATAGAAACTATTCCGCAAGTCAAATGTTTATTAATATTCATTTAAATGAGTTCATATGATGCGAATGCATATATACAAACATTCTGCGATTAACTGCCTAACGTCGGCTACATTAATACCGACGGAGAAATTTAAAGACTGAAACCTAATGTATATACACATATACAGGGAACGATAGAATATCACGAGATTAGGAAATGCAAATTTTGGCATACAGTCGGAGAAATATTTACCCCTATCATTTCTCTAACGTATACTTGGAAAAGCAGAATATTTTAGATACCAGTGGTCTGACAGAAAAGCTGTGGCATCGAATTACCCAGAAGCCTCTGCTACGCTGACGTCACGCCAAGGATAGAGGCCTATAAATAATGGACGCTATCAGAGCGGCGTTGATCTATGATTAAACACGTGGACTCAATATCCGCCGTCGATATTTCACACTACGATCTGTCGGGTAGGGAAATGCCTAAAGGCTCTTTTTCCTCACCCATTAGCGGAAAGTCTCCGACCAATGATTAAGCAATCGACTGTGATTGACAAGCACATGTGCTTGCTTAGGTCGTATGTGAAGATATATATTCAGCAATACGATAATTTAAGTTTTACCTTTTATGTTTTGGCATCAGAAAATGTTTGTTGAGGTGAAGCGTATGTCAGGAAGCGTGGTGTTACAGATTATCTTGGCTGGTTACTTTTGCAAACGGCTGGGAAATTTATATCTTAAGGAAATGCTGGTCTTAACGCAACTTTTGCAAATTATTATCATACTCATTTTACGTGTGAAGTCCTTGTCAAACGTAAATGCAAAATAATTTCTTTGATATCCGTTCTTCGACCATGTAATCTTTTAAATTTATTTTTGACTTGATGTTACTCCATATCTAAGACACTGTGCATTCTTTGGCGCATCTTTTATAAGCACTTCTATAAAATATACGAATCTTTTCATGTGCAGCCTGAAACTTAAAACTACTGAAGGTAGCAGTAACTGGTTGCTAACTGTTAAGCTAATGTAATGTAT